AGACTCCTTGAAATCAGCTCAGAGATCTCCTGATTTCAGGAAATACTAGTTTACTCTAAAATGGCACTCAGGTTATAGCCCTGGGTTTACAGTGGCTGCGTTACCGAGTTTTGCCGCATAACACTGTTTCGCAGAGACAGAGCTGCAAAATATTTTGGCTCTTGGCACAGCATATTCACTTTGCCTTGAGTCGTATCTGAATGCTCCTATGACTGGCATATTTGAACAGCAAAAGCAAAGACAGTTTTCGCTGAATGTTTAAATTATGCTCAACCATTTTTGACCTAGAAATAAGCGCCTCGCTCCGGTCCCTCCTGCCCAACTCTGGGAGCRTAGCCCGGTGCGGATCCGCGGTGGCCGCACAGCGAGCGCGGTGCCGAGCGAGGCCGGCGCGAGGCGAGGGCCGCGCCGGGAGCCCGGCTGCTCAGTGCACACCCGGAGAGGGGCAGCCCGGGAGCTCGTGCTGTGCACGGCCCCAGCTCCCTTGCCATGAACACCAGCAGGGCAGAAGGGCTTGGAGGGGAATCTTTAAAAGGTGATGGGAACTTTTAAAAAAATGTTTCTCATAATTTATTTAGCTCTGGAGTCACCTAAGCACTTAGACATGTGCTTAACTTTTTGAAACCAAGTAGTTCAATTTGAAATTAGTGGACTGCTCGCATACTTATGTTCATCATGCACTTAAGTGCTTTAATCTGGCACTTTGGGGAAAAGGAATGGCGAGTCGGTCACTGAATGTATTTCTAATCTAATCTATTCCAATCTACTGTTAGAGCTGTASGCCTGGGTCTGTCTACAGAGCAGTGGCAGGAGCAGGATACATTAGTCCAGCCAAGCTGCCAGAGCTGGAGCGCTATCAGAAACTGGGTTGGTGGAGAAGAGTTTGGGTGTTGCAGCCGGGCCGTGGGGCTTCGGACTGCTGGAGAGGGGTGAGCGCGTCCGGCCAGTGTGTGCCCTGCTGGGCCGGACCGCTCCGTTTGGGCCCACAGGTAGGAGATGGGCTGTTGCACCTGGRCTGCTCTGTGCCTTGGTTCGGGAGCAGCTCGTAGCTCCAGGCCTAGCTGGGATTTCCACTGTAACATGACTGCGAGCATTGGAGCAGGCAGGGAGGGAAGGTTTTAGACTTGGGAGCCTTTCATGTCAGTCTTATCTTCTCAGTGTGTAGAAAAAGAAGCCAATTGTTGTTTGAAGAATCTCAGACTGCAGGAAATTTTGGATGCAAACACATATAATTAGTAGTATTTTAGAAAGGGACAACATGGGCTTCTTTCAGGAAGGAGGAAAACTGCAGTGTTTGTCTTGGGAATCTCTCTGGCAATTCTCATTAGAGTGGAGGCAATTTCTTCTTCGGCTTAAAAATAAAGATCATACATATATAAAAAACAGGCTATCTGGGAACATGAGTGGTTTTGCTCAGGTAAGACCAGCAGCAAATCAGTTTGGGCCTCACCGCCCTGGTCCTGAGGGTGCCTGAGGTCAGGGGCCTGGCTCCTCAGCCTCACCAAGGGTTTGATAAACGATCCCCACTCTTCTGCTGTCTCTGGTTCAAAATAATGTTGAGTTTTACAGTTTTGGAAAACCCAAATCAAAAATTACTTAATTCTCAAAGCTAAATAGCTGAAAGGACTTTAGTTTTTTTTTTCTTTTTTCAGCGTTTGCCCTATCCATTAGGTATATTTTCTACCTTCATGATAGCTGTGTTCAGCTAATCTGCCAGTTTAACCAAAGCAACAATTTCACAATGTAGTTTTCTTTCTGATTGTGTGCTGTGTAATCAATATACTGATATAATGTGAGTGTAATTTCCTCTCTTATTTTATCTCCACTGCACAGTATTATAAATAAACAGCTAAAAAAAAAAAAAAAAGAAAGAAAAGCACCAAACAAATCTGTTGCATCTTCTTTTAAGATTGTACCACTGTAGACACTTGTTCCAGTAAAGTAGAATTGGACCCACTTGATTGCATTTAAATTTTTCATGCTTCAGCAGTTTGTCTGGGAGCACAGTAAAGAAACCCCCCGAGCGAGGAGAGTGTAGAATAATAGAACTTGATTTTGTGTATTATAGCGGCACCATTTGCGCTGCTGTAGTTAGGGTTGTGTCAGCACTTCCATTATAAACCTCTGTTTGCAGGGGTTATAACTAGGGAGATATTTTTTATCAGAAACTTTTTTTTTTTTAATCATTTGAGTGAGTTTTATTTTTTTTTCTCTCCTTATCAATTAAATAAATTATAATGGAAATTAGTAAATTTCAGCTACCTTTTACAAGCCTTATTTATTATTAATATTTAATTTTTTTCCCTCACTAGAGATTAGAGCAAATGCATTCTGAATATTTTAACTGCAGAATTATGAAGTTATTGTGGTTTAAAATTTGGCTGCTATTCATACTCGTATTTTAGCATTGAAACATATCCACAGAGCGGGCAGTTCTGCGGTTTGCTGCTATAATACGTGCAAAAAGTGCCCTCCCAGGCTGAGGTTCCCCCCGGCTTTTGATGGGACTCGCTGGGATCGCAGGGCCAGGGGTGACGTGGGCGCTGCTGGGGCTCCCCGGGCCACATCCCCCAGCAGCAGCAAAGTGCAGCAGCCCTCAGGGCAGGGATCCTCCTGCTCCCGTGTCAGAGCCTTTTCCCTATGTATTTAAGTTAAACAATAGAATATTCATGTAGGTTTTTCCGTGCGGGCATTTCCACCATGCCCGTGATGCGGGCCGTGCGCTGCCGCTCTCTGGCAGTACCTGCCGAGAGCCCTCCTGAGCGGTCACTTGAGGAAATACCAAAAGGCTGCTTGTGAAGTAGAGGTGAAGCCTTCCTACACTAATTATATTCWGCATGTAATTTCTAAACTTCAGTCTGAATTTTGATTTTCAATTAACATTCCCAATTTGAAGATAATTTTCTATTTAATGTAATTGCAGGAAATAATTTATTGGCTGATTAAGACTGAGGGCCCAGCCTTCCTTAAGCAAACAGTCCCTAACAAACCAGCCTTTAGAGCCAACTCAGAGCTTTGGACAGATTCAGCCTATTTTCGCAGCTGCACAGTTGTGTTTAATTAGGATTGTGCACTATTATTCATTGGTTCAGTTTGTAGTTGAAATTATTCTTAAGAGACATTTTCATTTCTAGTTTTGTGTCATGATTAATTTATAGTGAAGAAACAGCCCTGYGTAGCTCTTGCTTTTCAAAGCAGCTTGCTCCGTTCGAAGCAGGAATGAGGGCTGCTGAGAAGGTGAAAGACRGGAAAATCCCTGCCTGTGACTTTCGGTTTTCATGCTTGCTTGTAGAATTGCACAGAACGTGGTAGGTTTACTGACATTTTCATGCAAGTGATTATACTAACCTGACTATTTTAATCAGAAAATGGAGAATAAACCTCTTATTTTATCTTGGATCCTGGTAATTATGAACCAGAGGYGTTTGAAGTGCCTGCAGTAACGCTGGTTAACTGAGCCCGTGGCGGGCTCTGTGTGCCATCAACGTCAACCCCTTAGCAAAGCCAAAGGCAGCACGGGGTAGAAATTCCCCACTTCTCCTCAAAGTGGCAACTTTCATATCGGGCTCCTTAGGTTTGCACTTAGGTTTCCCTAAAGGAAATGCAACCCTTTTTCCCTACCAGTGCCAGGTTTGAGAGGCAGGATTATCTCTATTTACAGAATAGTTATTCTAAATAGGTATCAGTGTTTTAATGTGTTTCAAAGCACTTCAAAGCTTGTAATACTTTTATATAGAACTGTACATAATTAGATTAGCTGATCCTATATTAATTTTTTTTCACTGTAGGATACTAAACTGAGCTCCCTCATTAATTGTGAGAAATTTAGCATTAGCTGTTAAATCCTATGTGAAACATGGGCTGCTACATAAAAACTACTGTTTAAATTGGAATTAACTTAATTATTTTTCTTTGCACTTGATATTTCCTTCACTGTAATATTCATGAAAGCATGTGACAGATTTGTAAATTTAACTGTTAGTCTCAGATTTCCAGACCCTTTAATCAGTATTTATTTGTCTGCAGAAACAGTACTAGCAAGTTAATGATTTGCTAATTTGAAAAATGCTCATGTGGTTTCCTATGTTAACTGATTTGTGCATTTTTAAAGAAATGGTATGAAATTAATTTTTGTTAAAAAACAATTAAGGTGAAAATCTTATTCCTGAGTTTCTCAGCAACTTCAGTGTCACGGTTATTCTAMAGTTACTGAAAACTGGAAAAATAAGTGAAATATTTTAGCTGTCTTCTTCTAGGTTTATTAATCATTGTTTTAACAGTTGCAGTTAATCTTATTAGAAATTTTCAACCAAATGTTTTCAGATTTTGAGTTGTAAGTTATATTTTCCTGTAAGTGCAGGATCTGTTTTGAAAGCTGTGTTTGCATACGAGATGGCAGTAAGAAGCCATTATTGGGAAACGACATTTAACATAAATCAATGCACTTATTCATTACACTTTTAAGTCATTTAAAGTAATTTGTTGAGATATATCCTGTATTCAATGCCTAATATAAAATGCAACATAATTATTTTAGATTTTTAATTCAAACTAAAAATTAAGCTGATATTAACAGCCAGTCATTCAATAAACCACTCAGTTGTAGAACACTTTTCATATAAATGTCTCGGAGCACTTTCCAAAAGGAAAAACTGGATAAAATTGTAAACAGGTTAAGAGAAGATAAGGCATTAAACCAATAGCAAGAAGACTTGTTTAGAGTAGTTTGAAAGTGATTGTTTAAAGACTTGGGCTCTCAAGTAAAATTAACATGGAAATAACACTAAAATCACTATTTTCTTGTGGCTGGAGAAAATTATGTCATTTGATGAGGCTCAGCTGATGAGGATGACGTAACTAAACCCTGAACTTCACCTGGTGACAATGCAACTTTATCTCAGCATTGTGACCCACCCAGCGCTTTGGATGGTGATGATCCCATAGCTTAGTTTTCAGCGTACTTCTATCAACCAGGGAAGACTAGCTGGAATTGTTATAGGCAATTATGCATCTGGTAGCCKCTGTGTTTTCAGGTCTGTTTTGAGCTCAGACTTTTCATTTAATATTAACATTTTCCATTTGTCTGCTTTTTTTTTGCAGAAGAATGTCTTCCAAGCAGGCTACCTCTCCATTTGCATGTGCAGCTGATGGGGAGGAAACAATGACCCAGGACTTAGCATCACGAGACAAGGAAGAGGGCAACAGTGATCAACATGCACCCTCTCATCTGCCTCTACATAATGTAATGCACAACAAACCTCACTCTGAGGAGCTACCGACTCTAGTCACAACCATCCAACAAGATGCTGAATGGGATGGGGTCATCTCAGCCCAACACAGAATGGTGAGTTTCACAGTTCTCATAGCAACTTTCTGAATTAGTATTGAAAAAGACTATTCACTTCCATTTTGAAAGAATGTTCTCGGGCAGAGAGCTTCTTACACGGTGAGATGTCAGCATTAGCAGTAGATCAACATCAATATGGTGTAATTGTAAATTACAGTTGTATAATCCTGTTAAGTGTACAGGTCTATATGCATGAGGTCATATGATGAGTTCACCTTCACAGAGGAAATGCAGCTATTTATCATGTTTTAACTCATACCCTGATTTATGTCATAACCTCTCTAGCTCATATATTCAAACATTAATTTTAGACAGGAGGATGTAGCTTGCAACTGTTTGTCATCTGCAAAGTGTTAGGCTGAAGGAAGAAAGTTTAATACATTTTTTTGACTTGCCTCTCATAAACAGAACTGCYCCCCCACTCTAGACTATTATAGCTTCACACCACAACAAAGAAGCTGGCATTTTAGGTGACATAAACATCCTGCTTTATTTACATGAAATTAAATCTTTTTCTACATGGGAAAGGTTTGTATGAATAACTATCTCTTGCTCTTCTATTCTAGATCTCCACAGGTGAGATGAGATTTATTAGCTGTTTTCCTGTCAGTTACCTCAAATAATATTATTTTACAGTTGTAGTAGAGTCTCTTTACAACACCCAATCTCTGCAGTAAATGGGCAGACTGAATGAAGACTGAATGGGTATAGCTCTTTGTTGATTTATTTTCCTCGTATGGGAAGAGCAGAATTAAGGCCCTTGGAGTAACCAGGTGCTCTGTAAATTTAGAACACTGTAATTCTAGGCTCTCCATAAAGTGACTTTCACAGGCGTTAAATTCACCTAATTTAAATACCTTGCCTTTTCACAAAATTTGTTTTGTGTTTTTATTAGATGTCTAAGACTAGATTTTTTTTTTCAGTAAGAATTCAAACTTTTTAATTAAGAAAATAAGAATTGCAGGGTTTTTCTTTTTTCGGACAACTCTAACAACAATGAATTTATTTCAGATTTGACTGATAATAGTAATTCTGATTCAAAATAGAGACTGGCATTCTTCATGCATATTATGATTCCTGGAGTTAGAGCACTAAATAAATCCTAGCACTGAAATAATATCTATTCAGTTAAGATAGATGTTTACAAAAATTAAATTGATTCACAAGATTAGATAAAACTGGAAAAATGCTACCTAATCTTTAATGCACGCTTTAACCCAGTGAAGGACTCTCTGCCAGGCCTCCAATATAGCTAGGGATTTGTGCTTCTACCAGGTAACTGGCAAAATTATTGGTCTTATTTCRGCTGTAAAAATGGTTTAAAGAGAAATGATAAAAGATCAGTAATTTGGCACGGTAGACTATATTATTTACAGCTCACCTAAATATGTATATTACTAGAGGTGTACTTGTATTCTAAGTTATATATATAGTTTCTATGCAAAATTTCCCAATGAAACTTATTTTTGGATGGAGAGTAACCCTTTTGCCCAAGTCATGCAATTACAAACATATAATAATAATTTTAATTTAGCTCTTCTAGTTACCAAGTGGGAAAGCAGAATGCAGAACAGAAAGGCTTGACCAAATCTGCTGATGATAAAATAAACCGTGAATTCATTAGCCTCTTTCATAATCGTTCTGTGGGGCACGTGCACTCTGGGAATTTCAGTCTCTGGACAAGAAACACTGATAAAATYGATTTATGTCTCAGAGAGAAAGGGACTCATTGCTCCAGGGAAGTCTCTCAAAGCATCTGTGTTTGATCCAGGCTGTTTCCTGGGCCTGGAGGAGCAGTGGAGCCCTGCTGGCAGAAGCTCCCACACGGTGGTCGGTTGTGCTCGTTGGCGTTGCTCTAGCATGACCCTGCACTCGGAGCACTGCAGTGCAATCCCCGCTTTCCTAATGCCCCACCATCCTGTCAGTGCTGGCTCTACCTCTGGAYGAGCAGGAACCAATCTGCAGCTTATCATGTTTCGGAACAGGTGCACGGACTCTGCTTTAGCACACTCATTTTTCTCTCTCATTTTTTTTTCAGTAAATCCTTCATCACATACCTATGTGAATCTCCTGAAAAACATTAGTAGTTTCCATGATTCCTTCGGGTCAAATTTGGTGGTATTTTTATGCCATACTTCTTTGGGTGACACTCAGCTAAACTAGACAAATTTGGTTGCCCAACCAAAAGCTGGGTATAATTTCCAAGTTTCAGCTAGAAGCAGAACCTGAGATTGTAAGGCATGCTGTTCAGATGCGCTTAGAAGTGAGCTAAACCGCAGGGTTTAGCAAGGTCCCAAAAAATTTAAGTCTGCAGAGAGCTGGGTCCCAGTTTATTTAGTGTCAAAATGGTGGTTTAGATGACTGCTTGTAACACTGCAGTGAAGGGGTGAAAAGAATTTTTTTTGAGGGATTTTTATTTCTTTTGAGCATTTTGAGATTTTTTTTCTTATTTCCTTCGTGAGAAACCTTGTAAGCTTCAATTAAGTTTCTTGGAAACATCTTAGTCTCTGAGCAGATACAGCTACCGCCAGGAAGGAATTCAGAGACATCTTGAAATCTTCCTGCTGAAGGCAAAGTTTGAGTCTTTTGAGGGAGGGTAGGAGTTTCACTGCAGAAAGAGGAAATCTGCAAGGAGGGTGGACACTTCTGAGCTAGGTACTTCAATAGTGACCACTTCTCTTAATAAAACCAAACTCCCAGGAGGCAGGTGCTTTCTGACCTTTCACAGATGGATCTTTTCAAAGCAGATTTGAAGAAACACCTGCTCGTACCATTTACACTGAAAAAAAATGGACAGTGCTGCTTCTGTTAAAATGCATTGATAATGTGTGTTGTCCAGTTATATGCTAATAAATTCAAAGAGTTCTGTGTTGACATATGGGTAGCAAAAATTTGTGTTGACATATGAACAAGAAAAAAATAGTGGGTTGTTTTTTTTTTTTTTTTTTTTTTAATGGTACCTAATCCTGCATGCTTTGTGCCCTTAAAACTACCAGAGGGTTCCCTGGAATTTGTGCAAGCATGTAGTATGCACCAGAACATGCTGAGGGCTGCATGGATTTTGCACAAAGAAAGATATTGCAGCTGGAAAATTTGACTAAAAATTATTGAGTTTTTTTMCAACATTTATTGTATGCACCACTTTCTGTGGTATAAGATACCTTGAAACTACATTGTGTATTATCAGAAAAACAACACACTGGCTAGAAATGTTTTCAAACTTTCACTCCCTTTTGATATCAGGCATTGCTTTCCACGGAGTCCTTTGTGTATTCTGAATGTCTGGAAGCCAAAATATTTTGTTTTAACTCCCACTCTATAGTATTTCCCAGCTGTGTACTTATATGGTGTAATAAAAGGATTTAACAAATGGGAAATAGCAGCTGCATTTGGAAATTCCCTTTGTGCTCCCTTTTCATTTGACAGATTCAGCAATGTGTAACAACTGTAACGTCAGACCTGTAATGACTTACACTGCGAGTATCGTATCACCAGCCAATTTGATGTTACAGTGGGGAAAAAATAAAGCAACAGAAGGATTTGGAACTTTAATTTCATATTGCTGAGCTGAGGAGATTATCAGTATATTTCTAGCTGTAACTTAAAAATACGTCGATCCTTGGGTATTTACTGCTGCTTGTGCTTCTGCTAGAAAATAAATACTATTTTATACCAAGGAATTAAGTTTTTGCTGCAGTAAACTTTGGTAAGAGTGGTACCGAGATAAGAGTGAGGAAGCTATCCTGCCGTCTCTCATRTGCAATGATTAGCAGGCAGGAAATACCATCAAATTTTATAAATTACATCCCAAACCTGATTCTCATGGGGCACTAGACAGAGAGTGAAAAGGGATGAGGAAAAGCCAACAGAATTTAATTTTGCTATATTTAATAGCAGTGTCAATTTTTTTTTTTAACTGCCAAATGATTTTACTGGTAACTGTGTAAAGGAGACACGTGATTTAGTCTCTGGGTGCCAGGAAGCGACCACCACTCCTGTCCCCATCTTTAGCACCAGCCCGGCACAGTGTGTGAGTTGCACTATAAGGGTTTGTGAGGTAAATTACAAAGGTTTCCTCTTGTTGCTGTGAAGTGTTGGCGGGAGAGCAACGCCAAGGGCCAACCCCACAAGTGAGGGGAGCGAGCGCCCTGCTCGCTGTGGGGAAGCGGCTGGCGCCTTCCTGTGGCCTAACAGCCCGGCAGGGCCCTTGCTGGCGCCATGCACCTCAGCAGCCTTAACCCAACGAACGCTGGAATCTCGATCCGTGTGGCAGATTTTTTTCTTTTTTCCCTGTAATGACTGGGAAGGGGTAAAAAAGAGAGGTAGCAGCAAATGGAGTCTAAAGGATCGGTGTTATTTCCCTGTGAGCGAGGAAGGACCATTACTCTGTGAGTACGGCCTTCAAATGTACATCCTTTTTCCCCTGTGGATTTGTGACATCTTTCTGAGACCCTAAGAGTTTAGAAACAAAATTTATCTCCCCGGAATTTATGTCACATGGGAACAGTGACGTATGCTTCCTAATTATGTCGGTGTCTGTTGTTGACCCCTTGCCAAACGAGCCGGGGCTGGTTACCGYTGCCCAGGCCTTCACATGCCTCTCAGCAGTAGAGTCTCATGTATTCCACAGGGAAAGACAGGATCTCTCATGACTCTTGTATTTGTTCTCTTTTAAATAATTTTAAATCACCAAGTGCCAGTTTAACCCTATGGAGGTTTTTTAGCAAAACTATTAACACCAGAAAGACAAATTAGGTGGTATTCTCAAGCTCTTGATGTTTCAGTGCTTGATGTTTCGGTACTTTCTGTCTCTACAAAAACCAGACACAATCTGCCCTGCCAGCCCTGATCCTTGCAGTAGACTTCATGCCAGAAGTTCTTCCCTTTAAGGAAAATAAACTCTTTTTTTTTTTTTTTTTTTTTTTTTTTTTAGGAAAGACCTTTGAAAAATATGAGCACACATTCTGCACACTGCAAATTTGTTGTTATAAAGAATT